GTCGGCAGCGGCGACACACGCACGCGCACGCACAGAGAGCCACGCACACGCACACGCACACAGACAAACCCAAGCCCTTCGTCTGCTCGGTTTGCGGGAAGGGTTTCGGCAAAGCTGCCTCGTTACGGGCCCATCAGGCCATTCACACCGGACAGAAGTCCTTCCACTGCGACCACTGTCCTCGGACCTACAACCGTTTGGACAACCTGAGGAGACACCAGAGAGGCCACATACTGGACAAGGCCTTAATCTGCACGGATTGTGGACACCGGTTCCCTGACCCCGACTCTCTCCGCTCCCACCGCCAACTGCACGCCTCCCGGCACGGGTACACGTGTCACGTGTGCGGGGACAGCTTCCCGGGGTCCCCCGAGCTGGCTGGACACGCGTGTCATGTGGGCGCGCGAGACCCCGAGGTTCGGACCGAGCAGGAAACTGGTCAGAACGACGACGACGGCAAGAAGAAGAAGAAGGAATTGGATGATCAAGTCAATCGGGGATTGAACCCCAATATCAACAACGTTGGGGTTCACTCCCACAGTCCTGACCCCGACCCCAACCCCAATATCCCAGTGTTCAACCTCGGACTTCACCCCAACTCTGACCCCAAAGTTCACATTAATCCCAACGCTGACTCCGACCCCAACAATTCGGGCTTTAACCCCCACCCCACCCTCAACCCCAACCTGAACCCTGACCCCACCCCAGTCCTCGACCCCCCAGACCCCGGTCTTGACCCCGACGACCCCAATCCGGACGGGCACCAAGTGATTCATGTGGAGACGCGGTTCGAATGTTCCTTGTGTCGAGCTGTGTTCCTCGAAGCATCTGAGCTTCAGTCTCATCGTCTGGGGGTCCACACGGCCAGAGCCACAGCCCCTCCCCACCCCCCTCACCGCTGGGGCAAGCGAGTCAACCACCAGCCCCCTCCCTCTCGCTCCGCCTCTCGTTCCACCTCTCGTTCGTCCTCCAAACCCTTCCGATGCCCTTTCTGCTCCCGAGTGTTTGTGGAGGCCATTGGCTTACGGTCCCACCACTGTCTGGGGGCTGGGGGTGGGCAGCCCTATCGCTGGGGAGTCAGAGGACAAACCCAGAGCCGCAGGAAACCCCCCACCCCCTCGCAGGCCCTCCCCACCCCCTCGCTCAGGTCCTTCAAGTGCGACGTCTGCCCAAAAATCTACAACCGTCTGGACAACCTGCGTAGACATCAACGCAGTCACTCGAGCCCACATCAGGGAGGAGGGGAACCGGGGGCTTCTCTACCCGTCCCTGAGGATCAGGAGGTGGCGGAGGGGCCTTGGGGGGTTCAAGAGAAGGGGGTGGAGGCTGAGGAGCTGCCCGTTGACCCCCAACCGGGCCAGGAAGGTGCTCTGAGATGCGAGGACTGTCAGGAGGTTTTTGTTGACCTTTTCTCGCTCCGAACCCACCAGCTGATCCACACCTGGGAGCAGAGCTTCCAGTGCCAGGTCTGTCGGGAAACTTTCCAGGATTCGGGGTCACTGACCGAACACGAGTTGAGCCACGCTGCGTCCGTCACCAAGACCGAGCTGCCCCCCTCCTCGCCTCCCCCCAAGCTCCAGGTGCCCCACGTGTCCGAGACCCTCTGCAAGTGTCCCGTTTGCGGAGACACCTTTCCCAGTTCCTCGTCGCTGGAGAACCATCAGCTGATCCACAGTTGGGAACGTCCCTTCAAGTGCGACGTGTGCGACGACCGGTTTGAAGACTCCTCGTCGCTGACCGACCACCAGCTCTCGCACTCCTCGTCCCTGACCGACCACCAGCTCTCGCACTCCTCGTCCCTGGCCGACCGCCAGCTCTCGGGCTCCTCTACGGAGAATGGCTGTCCCATTTGTGGAGAGACTTTCCCCAGTTCCTCGTCGCTGGAGGACCATCAGCTGATCCACAGTTGGGAACGTCCCTTCAAATGCGACGTGTGCGAGGACCGGTTTGAAGACTCCTCGTCTCTGACCGACCACCAGCTCTCGCACGTCTCGGCGGAGAGTCTGGGCTTCAACTGCACGGCCTGTGGAGACACCTTTCCCAGTTCCTCGTCGCTGGAGCAGCACCGCTCGTCGCACGTGTGGCAGGGAGACTTCGCGTGCGACCTCTGCGACGAGACCTTCTCCGAGCCGGCCTCCTTGCGCGTCCACCGCGTGTGTCACGGGTGGGAGAGGGAGCCCTTCTCCGGGGCCGAGGAGGAGTCACAGACACACGTGCCCAGACGTTGTCCGACCTCAGACAAGCCGTTCAGCTGCTCCGTGTGCGACAAGGGCTTCAGCCAAGTGTCCGCCCTTCGCGCCCATCAAACCATCCACACGGGGAACAAACCCCATCACTGCTCCGTGTGCGGACGCACATACAACCGGCTCGACAACCTCCGACGCCATCAATATTCCCACCTCAAAACCCCGGCGTGACCACAAGTCACGGCATCGCCTCGTTATCATTCTCTCTCTCGCTGACACGTCACCGTGACCGGCCGCGTGTCCTGACGCGCGCACACGGACACCCGTGACCGGCCGCGTGTCCTGACGCGCGCACACGGAAACCCGTGACCGGCCGCGTGTCCTGACGCGCGCACACGGACACCCGTCACCGTGACCGGCCGCGTGTCCTGACGCGCGCACACGGAAACCCGTCACCGTGACCGGCCGCGCGTCCTGACGCGCGCACACGGAAACCCGTCACCGTGACCGGCCGCGTGTCTGACACACACACACACGCACACACACACTCGCACGCACGCACGCACACGGAAACCCGGCCGATCACACGCGTTTCCGTGTGCGTGTCGGACGCACGGCCGTCCGCGCGCGTCGGACACGATGTAAAAAAAAGTTAGTGTGTAAATGTGTATCTCTCTGTGCGTGTTCACACGTGACGTGATTCACGTCGTGAGTTCACACACACGTCGCTGTTTATATTTATTTTTTACCGACTGTATAAACGCGGTTTCTCACCGTGTGTTTGACGTGTTCTCGTGTTCGTCTGTAATCGACTTCGTGGNTTTTTTTAACAACAATAAAATCAACTTAATTACAGATCACACGTGTCAGAGCCTCACACACACACACACACAGTCACACACACACACACAGTCACACACACACACACACAGTCACACGCACACACACAGTCACACACACACACACACACAGTCACACGCACACACACACTCACACACACAGTCACACACACACACACAGTCACACACACACACACACAGTCACACACACACACACAGTCACACACACACACACACACACAGTCACACACACACACACAGTCACACACACACACACACAGTCACACACACACACACAGTCACACACACACACACAGTCACACACACACACACACAGTCACACGCACACACACACTCACACACACAGTCACACACACACACACACACACACACACACACACAGTCACACCACACACACAGTCACACACACACACACAGTCACACACACACACACACACACACACACACACACACACACACACACACACACAGTCACACACACACACACACACACACACACACACACACGGTCACACAGTCACACACACACATACAGAGACACACACACACAGTCACACACACAGTCACACACACACACAGTCACAAACACACATAGTCACACACATACACAGTCACACACACACAGTCACACACAGACACTCACACACACAGACATTCACAGACACTCACACACAGACACACAGAGACACAGACACTCACAGACAGACAGACACAGTCACACACACACACAGTCACATACACAAACACACACACAGTCACATACACAAACAGTCACATATACAGTCACACACACACACACACTTACACACACACGCACTTGTACACACGCGCACACCCTTATATACACGCGCACACACACACACACAGTCACGCACACACACGCGCACACACGCACACACGCACACGCACACAGTCACACACACGCACACGCACACACACGCACACACACACAGGCGCTCTCTCCCCATAGCCGCTCACCCCCTCTTCCCCTCTCTCTCCCACTCTCTCTCTCCCTCTCTCTCTCCCACTCTCCCCACAGCCTTTTTACTGTAGTAACTGTTAAACCTGTGCCCCCGGTTTCCTGAGCCCCTCAGTCGCCAGTGGAGGTGGTGTTTCCTCGTCCCCTCCTATCGAAACCCCTGAAAACCTCTCCCGAGTCCCCTCTCTCTCCCAGAACGTTCCCGGGTTCTCCTGAACCCCCTCATTCCCACCGTCTCCAACGCCCGGAGCTGAACCCCGTCTCGAGCCGAGGCCACACCAGTGGTTTACAAACGTTCCACAAACACTCGGTGTCTGTGTCTCTGTGTGTGTGCGTCTGACTGGGAACTGTAGTGACTGAGTTTTGTGGACACTGACACTCACATTGAGAGACACAGACACAGACACCGAGACATAGAGACACACAGACGCACACACAGACACCGACACACACACACACACACCACACACAGACACTCACCGAGACATAGAGACACACACAGACACAGAAACACTCACACAAACACTTACAGACACACACAGACAGACATACAGACAGACAGACAGACAGACAGACAGACACTCACAGAGACACAGACACAGACACCGAGACATAGAGACACACAGACGCACACACAGACACCGACAGACACTCACAGACAGACACAGACACACACTCACAGACACACACACACTCACACACTTACAGACACACACATAGACAGACAGACAGACAGACAGACACTCACTCACAGAGACACAGACACCGAGACATAGACACACAGACACACTCACAGACACACACACACTTACAGACACACACTTACAGACACACAGACAGACAGACAGACAGACAGACAGACAGACAGACAGACACTCACAGAGACACAGACACCGAGACATAGACACACAGACACACTCACAGACAGACACACACACTCACAGACACACACACACTTACAGACACACACTTACAGACACACAGACAGACAGACAGACAGACACTCACAGAGACACAGACACCGAGACATAGACACACAGACACACACACAGACAGACACACACAGACATACACTCACAGACACACAC